GTCTTGGCAGCAGGGCAAGCCTTGCCCACTGAGCAGTCTTGCTGGCTTCATTCCCAGACTAAACCATCCAGACCAAAGCTGAATCTGAACTGCAGAGCCAATTCTTTGGTCACTTGTGAGGTCAACTAAACTCATCATACTCAGAAATATTACCTATCCTTAACACCAAGCAGAGGGTGCTGTGGCTGGGGATGTTTGCCCTGGCCAGGCAGAGGAAAAGGCGGTGGAAAGGTACCATTTGCCAAGAAGTTATCCCTGTGAGCCCAACTACTTTGTACTTACAGTAACATCTTTCATCGCAGCAATAACATTCATGATGCTGAATTGCCAGCGATAACAATGAAGTTCAAAAGAGGGAGACTTGGATAATCAGCTCCCTTGCTTTCTTTGGCCCCAGCCTTCCTATTGTACTGCTGATACTGAACTTTCCCTAGCCAGACCACCCAGGGCCTTTTCATACCGGTCCTATGTTCCTGAAAGGCTTGTTTCTTGAACTGCATTTCCTTGCTGTATCTATAACTTAGATTTTTCTCTGAGCATGGCTTCCTGGTATCGACTCAAGTGGGTGCTTCCTATTTCAGGCATAGAAAGGAATCTAAGCAGGAAGCTCATGCCCATCTGTAAACATGGGACAGAGGAAGGAAGATCCCAAATTGTAAACCAGTCTGGGTTACAAAGACCTTGTTCCCCAAACACAAACCAAAAGAAGAAAAGGGAAGAAAAAAACAAAACAAACAGACAAAAACCCTAAGCAGGAAAAGAGCGCCAGTGAAGACTCTAGGGCAGGAATGACAGAGGCCACAGCCACAAAGAAAGCCAGTGTGACTGCTGGCAGTGAGCTTGTGAGACTTGTCCTCTGGAAGAGCAACCAGTGTTCATAACCACTGAGCCATCACTTGAGTCCTCCAGATTCAGTTCTTGATGAAGACCTTCACCCTTTGCTGGCTGGAAGAGACTTCATTTCTTTCTTTTTAGTTTTTCGAGACAGGGTTTCTCTGTGTAGCTTTGGAGCCTATCCTGGCACTCGTTCTGGAGACCAGGCTGGCCTTGAACTCACAGACACCCCCCTGCCTCTGCCTCCCGAGTGCTGGGATTATAGGCGTGCACCACCACCGCCCGGCTGAGACTTCATTTCTTAGTATAGTATTTTCTAAAGGTGTGGAAACTGTGGGATGGGGGAGAAGGGAAATAGCAACGAATCCATTCATCCCATTATGAGGCTCTTACTCCCCCCCCCATGTCCATGAGTGTGCTTGTGTGTATGTGTATTTGCATGTGTATGTATATGTATACAGGTGTGTGTGTATATATACAGGTATGTATGTGTATGTATGCAGATGTGTATGTATCATGTGTATGTGTATTTGCATGTGTATGTATGCAGGTATGTATGTGTCTGTATTGTGTGTGTGTGTGTGTGTGTGTGTGTGTGTGTGTGTGTATTTGTATGTGTATGTATGCAGGTGTGTGTTTGTAGGGCAGAGGTTGATGTCAGGTATCATCCTTGACTATTATCTACTTTACTTACTGAGATGTTTCATGTTGGGCTCAGAACTTGTTGATTCAGCTTGGTTAGCCAGCTTGCCCAGGGGATCCTCTCTCCACTGCTGTGCTGGAATTACATGTGGGCCACCAAACATGTCTGTCATTTGTGTGGGTACTAGGGATCTGAAATCCTGTCTTCATGCTTGTGTGGCAAGCACTTTACCTATCAAGTCATCTCCCCATCCCCGAAGGGTACCACTTTTAAATCTAGTTTGGATTGGTGACCTTTTGAGTGCTTGATGACCTCGAAAGAGTTTAAACACAAAAAGTAATGATCTTATTTTCCTGATAAAAAGATCATCTTGGCCCCTGGGAGAATTGAATGGGAGGGAAGACAGTGAGGCTGCGTCCAGGGAGACAGTGAGGCTGGGTCCATGGAGACAGTGAGGCTGGGTCCATGGAGACAGGGATGCTGGACAGTGAGGCTGGGTCCATGGAGACAGCGGGGCTGGGTCCAGAGAGACAGTGAGGCTTGGTCCAGGGAGACAATGGGGCTGGGTCCAGGGAGACAGTGGGGCTGGGTTCAGGGAGACAGTGAATAGGTAGGTTTTGAGGAGAGAGACTTTCTACAATAAAAACATGTAATCTAAAAAAAAAAAAAAAAAAAAAAAAAAAAAAAAAAAAAAAAGAAGAAGAAGATACTTTCATAATGTTTTCCATTTGATTTTTATTAGTTTCCAAAGTATCTTTGGAAATTTACTACTGCAAAACTTTGTATATGGGGGATCCCTTTCTTTACTCTTTTGATAATATTTTTGGGGACTCTTCATCATGCTAAAGAAGCATTTTTTTTTGCTGTTTTGTTCAAATTTAGTTGTGGTAGTGGTGATGGTGGGTTGTGGTTGTTGGGTTGTGTGGGTCCCATGCCCCACCCTCCTCTGCATACCACTGCCACCATCGCCTCCATAGACCTCATACAAGACTTCTAGTGAGCTATAAATGCCACCCTTGCTTAGGTTTTTCTTTTTTTTTCCTATCAGCATCAAATAAAGTTTTATTTACTAGTTTTAAGTAAAATAGTTTACTATTATTTTCATTAAAATTATTCTTCCTTCTGGGTAGTCATCCAAGTAACCTTCTGTTTGGGTATGTGTCTAGTATATATATTTAGTTTTTGAGGTAGTTGTTAGGTAGGTCTTAGATGATCTTTAAAAGTTTCTTAGGCGAGTGAGAGAGTTAGTTCATCTGGTAAAGGATCTAGCCAGCAATCCTGATGAACTGGTTGGAATTCTAGGACACAGATGGAGAACATCACACATGTAAATAAAAATAAAATCTTAAAATTTTTGAGTTTTTTTTTTTTTTTTGGTTATGATCATGATATCATCTAAGCTGAAATCCTACTGATCATATTTTCTTACAGCTGTGAAATCACAACAGACTACATCAATTAAAATATAACCAACAAGTATTTTCCAGCCATATACCTTCTAATATTTTGCTGAAGGTAGACCATTATGAATGATATAATGGCATGACTATGACTTTGGGAATTAGACCATCACCCTTCCTCTGATTTTTGCCTGGTATTTATCACGGACTATAATTTCTAAGTTTACTTACTTTCTTGACTGTCTACCTCTATTTTTATATTTTTATTTAATTTTTGGTAGCATGTAAAATAATGGATATCTCTGATACATATAATTGTATCTTTCTCATATTTGCAGAAATATAAAATACTCATGATTCCTTGTGCTGGGGCCATGCCCATCTCCGTTCATCTCTGCTGTTGATTGAGTTAGGACCACACAAGTCTGTTGTTAGGGCCTGAGGATGGAGCTCTGTGGTCCGTTGCATGTTTAGTATGCATGTGCTTGTGAGGCTCCAGACTCTTGTCTCCATCACAGGGTAGATGGGAAGGGAGAAATAAATCATTATTCTATCAGGGTGGACAGGTTGGGCAGGAATGTGTGGCACTAGAAGTTCCAAGTTCAAGTAAACAGTTCTTTAGTAATGTAGGATTTGGAACGCTAGATAGCCAGTCACCATCCCCCACTTCCCACAAGGGAAAGAGACGAACAAAACGAGTAGTTTTACCATCTCTGAGGGTGAAAGAACCAACTGTGAGGACAAGGATTTGAGCAGAAGTTGAGGTGCCCCCTCCCCTACTCCTGAAGTAGCTTTGGGGGAGTGGGGTGGAGTGGTGTTGTAGAAGCTGTCCTGCAAGGCAGGAGGGTGGTTATTAAGGACTGATGTTTGGAATGAGGAGGTGCAGGGAGGGCCACCAGGAAGGTAAGAGAGGCACTTCTTTTTTGAGAACTGTCAGGGATCACATGGGGCTTCTTTTGACTTGTCAGTTGTCATCTTTTGTGTGTCTGTCTTTCTCTTCATCGTACTGTGGGCAACTCCCTGTTATATGCTGTCTTTATCTCTACCTACCCTAGGGGATAAGGTAGGTATTTAAGAAATGCTTGTAGGAGGGCTGGGTCTGTATGATTCCAGTCTGCCTTAGGTGTAAAAAGTACCCGGGAGACTTTTCTGTGTGAGTTTACACTGCTCCCAAATGAAGAAACTATGCAACCATGTTGCAAATATATACACACAGATACATATATATCTAAATATATTCTGTTGCGGGGGAGGGATGAGGTGGGGGAAGAGAATGTCGCTATAGAGATCTGAAATCTTAAATTTTTTTCTTTAATGGATGGGATAGCTGCTTAATCATACTAGGCAAGCATTTAGTCCTGCCCTACCCACTTGTGTTTTTGGTGAGGCTGTTCTAGAACTGGCTGCATAGTTCAGGCAGAGCTTGATTTGGAGACACTCCTACTTCAGCTACTATGCCCTGGTTTCCTGCCTGGTGAGCAAATAGCATTCTGCAGGAAATCTGACTAAATGTGTTGTTTGTCTAAATGCATTTGTTTGAGTTGTCTTATTTTATGTATTTGTTTGAGACAGAGTCTTATTGTGTACCATGGCTGGATTGGAACCTACTGTGTAGACCAGTCTATCCCGGAACTCAGAGAGATCCACCTGCTCTGCCTCCAGAGTGTGCAGACTGAGTTGTTTCAACTAATCTATTTCAGAAACCTTATACATTGTAATTTACAAACAAAACAAACATTGACTATAATTTTAAAAGGGAAATTCAATTCACAATACTTTCATTGAAACGTTTTCCCTGTACACTTTCTGATTCTTTTATGTATTTTTATGCTTTACTAATTATTATCACAGGTTAGATAAAACTTGTGTTTGTTTTCATTGACAGTTAACATTGTCATTATTCTCCTTGCTATGAAAGTTTTCTCATGTTGTAGTTAACCTGTTGTTGTCTATACTGGAGATTGAACTCTGCCTCACATATGCCTTCTACCCTACCGTGGGACTATATCCCTGGTCCTTTTCTTACTTTTCGTTTTGAGATAGGGTCTTAAAAAATTGCTCAAGCTAGCCTAGAAGTAACTCTATTGTCCAGGCAGGTCATGACCTTGAACAGCCCACCTTTGCATTATAGGCCTGACTTGTTTATGTTTTGATATTTATATTTTTGTTTTGTTTTGCTTTTTTTCATTGAGGCAGATCTTCCCGGGGAAGGTGAGGCTGGCCTGTAACTCAAGATTCTCCTGCCTGTGGAGATTAGTGCTGGGATTATAGACATAGATCACTAATGCTAGACCTGCTTTCCCTTAAGTAGGACTTAACATAGATGGTATCCATCTCCCCTGGTTGGAAAAAAGACCCTTAGCTAAGTAATGGAACAGCTTTGGCCAATATTACCATTGGGTCTTTATGAAGCAATTAAGTTCAGAGTCAGTTTTTTTTTTTTTGAGATGATGTCATATACCCAAAGCTGGCCTTCAACTCGTTATAGCTGAGGGGACTTCTAATTCTCCTGTCCTCCCTCACCTCCCGAGTGTACCACCACATTGATTATGTTGTGCTGGGCTCAAACTCAGGACTTTGTGCATACTGGCTAAGCACTCTATCAACTGAGCTACATTTGCAAGCCTAGTCAGCTCACGATTGACTTCCTCACAGTTCTGTGTTATTGGATACGTTCCCCTTCCTAGAACTCCCTCTTCCCATGACTTTTTCACTATTCTTCCCCAGAAAGTTTCTTCTGTCTTTTCACGCTTGCTCTGCTCTCTGTCCTGCAGAGTTCATAATACTCTGGCATTCCCATAGGCAGGTCCGGACTGTCTTTGGTCCACCCTTGCCTCTAACTACATCTTGTCTGAATAGGCTCATCCCTTCTCATGACGTCAATTTCCACAACTCATTGATGATTCCCAGGCCTCTCTATCCAGGTGCTCATTAATCCCTCCTGTAGTTGACACATCGTTCTTGACGGTTGTGTCTCACTAAACTCATTTATTGTCCTTCCTGAGGCCCCTCCCAGGGTAAGCTCCCTCGCCTCGGTTCTCCACTGTGGTCAAAGGAATGTCTACACAAGGATGCCACAAACCTGACAGTCATGCTGGGTTCACTTCCCTCTGGTCTCTCACAACTGCTCACTCATCCAGCCTACTGAACCACTTCCTCAGTTTCATTTGAACCTGGCTTCCTTCTGTCTAGTGCCATCTGACTTCAGGGCCACAGCATATTTCTCCTGCTTTCCCACAATGGTGGTAGATACAGACTAAATCCTTACCACCGTTCCCCATATCCTAACTGCCAAACCCATCTTCCCAGAAGACAACAGAGATTTATATAAAATGCTAACTGAATCCCACTTTTGTAAAGGAGTTCAACACCTGCTGTCCTGGGCCATGTCACATCATGGTATACTCAGGGAAAGGCTGCTAGCTCCATGTTCTTTGTTTCTACATGTTATTTTTTTCACCTAGAAGACCTTTTCCTTTTATTTTGTCAGGGAAGCTCTCCCTGAACCCCATCCTCCCATATCAGTAGGAGGAGTTTTCATTTCCCCCCTGTTTGCTGACTCTCTGCTGTAATGGACTCCCTGAGTCAGGAGGAAGGCTAGCCTGATCTGCATAGTGAGATCTTGCCATGAAAGAAAAAAAACAAAACAAAAAAAAAAAAAACCCAAAAACAAGAGGTTAAACAAATTCCAGGAGTAAAAAAACCAAAAAAAAACCAAAAAAAACCCCAAAAACAAGAGGTTAAACAAATTCCAGGAGTAGGTTTGAAATATTGTATCACCATGAAATACATTGCTTCTCAGAAGAATGGAATTAATTTAGGGCCAGATGTGGTGGTTGTATGCTTTGTAATCTCAGCATTTCAAAACTTCAGCAGGCGAATCTCTGGATTGAGGATAGCCTGGTCTACATAGCAAGAATGTGTCACACATACCAGAGTATGTGTGATGGCTTATACTGCCATCACAAAGCCTGTGTAACAGCTGGGAGGTGATGGCATGCCTTTAACCCTAGCACTCCCGAGGCAGGCAGATTTCCATGAGTTTCGAGGCCAGCCTGGTCTACAAAGTGAGTTCTTTTTTTTTTTTTTTTTTTTTTTTTTTTTTTTTTTGGTTTTTTGAGACTGGGGTTCTCTGTGGCTTTGGAGGCTGTCCGTGAACTAGCTCTTGTAGACCAGGCTGGTCTCGAACTCACAGAGATCCGCCTGCCTCTGCCTCCCGAGTGCTGGGATTAAAGGCATGGGCCACCAACGCCCGGCTACAAATCCAAGACAGCCAGGATTACACAGAGAAACCCTGTCTCAAAAAATAAAATAAACCCCCCCCCCCCCGAAGGAAAAAGAAAGTGTAGCAATTGAATCAAGTCTATAGACTGCTTACTTTCAGGTGTTCTGTTAGAAGTGGCATCTGTCATCATTTGTCATGATAGGAACACTCTGTATCTGGACTGTCCAACGTAGTCACTAGGTACATGTGGCTGTCAGCCCTGGAAATGTAAGTAGTATGACTGAGAAACTGAAATGTTCATTGCCTCTTATTTTAGCTAACTGAAAGTGAAATGTAAATACAGGCAGGTGGTAAGGGCTGTTCAAATTGGACAGCCCCAGTCTAGAGAGGAAAAGGTAACCATTTAACAGGTGTAATTGCTGCGTTCCGGACCCTTTCTTCCTTTGTTGATGCTTTGTTGAGGTAATAAGCTCGTGAAAATAAGGTGTGACTGACTCACAAGTGCAGTCATTACCACTGTAAGGCGGCACCACCTAATTTGGGGAACCATTTTTAAACAGGTGCTTAGATCAGGAGCGTAATACAACGCGCAGGTCGGGAAGACCAGCCCGCGTCCCACTGGAGACGAGATAAAGTGGGAAATGTTACTCACAGCACTTACTCAGAGGCGTGGACTTCCTACTCCAAAGGAGGCCAGCAGCATAACGCTTTGAGGGCAGCATCTGCAAGACTTGTTTTTCCACATATACTGCCAAACTTGTCCTGATTAGACAGGAAGTGAAGCCACTTCTCAGAGAGCCCGCCGGCATCTGGATCTCGTCTTGGGGCTCTCAGACCTTTCTTACTTTTTACCTATCAAATTTATGGGCCTAGGCTGGAGTTTGCCCTCCAATTTAGGGGAGGAACAGCGGTGGGCAACGCTTTGTCCTCTAACTCCAAATCACGTGTTTAATCAGTGTATCAGCTTTTGATTTTAAATACTTGATGTGCTCTTACAATAGGACAGTTTGTTTAAAGCGCACGATTCTTGCATGGTGGGGGACTGAATAAATCCTGTCGGATCATCACCCTTGTGGAGAGTGATTTCAATCTCTTTATTGGAGTTGCTGGCGATATGCCAAGGAGGTTACCTGGCCGGCATTGCCTAAAAAGTTCCGCTTTACTATTTAATTCTATGACCTTTGTACCTTTGGAATCTGGGTCAGCAGTGGAGCTGCAAAATTTGGGGAGCAACAACTTGTCTGTGCCTGCCCCCCCCGCGGGCCACTTCCGACGCAAAGCTTCGGGGTTTCCCCAGTGGTTCTCTGGAAGAGAACACAAGCGCTGCCTGTGAGAAGCCCCGCGATCCTTTCTCTAAAAAAAAGGTGTCCAT